ATGCTAGTATTTTCATAAATCGAAATCGCAATCGCTGTACCCTTGTAAGGGATTGCGATAAATTTTGATATTTGACAATTGGGCCACAGGTCTACAGTCCTTTGATGCCGTGAACAATAACTAACATATAAAAAGATGCAGCCGTTAAATATATATCGCACATCGCATATTTCGACAAATAATACTAATCTATGATTTTGACAATCTTAAGACAATCCAAATTAGTAGGATTACCTACAACTAGATACCAACTTAATTACCTCATTTTCCCTCGTGAGGGGCTCGCGAGTCACCACTCATTTGAGGTGAGGATAGGTAATGTTACAGTAGCAGCGAATGAGTACGTAGAGAGGCGCGCGCAACGTTGCCGTTTGGTACAAAATGAGGGAGGGAGTCGGTAATGTTAAACAAAACATATTTTGTCTTTAGATTCTAAAAAATAAACTTTACTAGACTATAATTTATCAGAATGACCACAACGTGCAACTTATTTTTAATAGTGTCAAATGTTCCATTTTTAAAATCGATCAATCATTTATATTTCGAATCATATAAATACATTTCTAAATAAAACAGATACGTTTTTATTAACTTTGATATTTACTTAGACTAATTCATATCAATTATCTATAAAATATTAAATACGTATTTGCGAAGAAACACAAACAAACCTGAATCGTTCCAAAAACTCATAAAACTTAACCCATTCCCTCAATCTTGAATATATTGAGTAAGTATCGAGTCGCCTTTTCATTCGAAACAACTCGCTATTTAGCTACTCACTCAAAAAGTCCACCGCCTCATTTTGCTCCTCACTCCAAAAGTGAGGAACTTAATGAGGTGGTTCAAAATTGAAAAAGTACTCCCTCATTTTGTCGAATTGTGGAACTCAAACGAGGCACCTCGCGAGTGAGGGGCTCATCACTAAAGCTGGGGCAGTTATTGATGACAAATGCTTCATCCAACATTTTTTTGGAGCAGCAAATTTTCAAACGAAGAGGCGTTTAGGATCACAGTTATATTCGAATAGAGGGGAGGGGAATTTATAATAGAGGGGATGGAGAAGCGGATATCAATTTACCTATAAAATTAACAAATATTGTAGATGTTCTTCCTTCCTCTAGCGCACAAGGTGGACAAGGAGATCAGCGACCTTCAACATCGATTCGACCCATTAGAACATTTAATTCTCCATCTTATGCCCCTCATAAAATCCCACCTCCCGATCAGATGATGCCCCGCCATTATAATTTCAGACCAAGAAATAATACAAAGCCGCAGCCAATGATGATTAAGAAGAATAGTGAAAGCCACACAAAAGCAGCAGAGGCGATAGAAGTGATAGCAGAGGAGAAGCAGTCGCCTCGTTTAAAGAATATATTATACAAACGTGAGTTCGAACCATTGTTTAAAGTGTCGTGTCGTGATAGAGAATTTATTTCACTCGTTGATACTGGTGCATCATTTTCGGTAATTTCGGATCGTGCCGCGTATAAACTCCGTCACAATATTGTGCCATGTAATTTGTCACTTCGGGCAGTAAACAATGCGAATCTCGAAGTAATCGGTAAAGTCAATTTGAAGATTATTATTGAACATGTCTTGTTTATTCATGATTTTTATGTTGTGAAAAATATTGATCGAGACATAATAATAGGACAAGATATTCTATTCTCTCATAATGTTGTCATAGATTTTAGAAGGCATCAATTATTTGTCAAACACATTGTATGTCAATTTTTGACAAAGTCTGAATTGATAAAAGAGAATAATGTTGTCGATGTCTCTAATAATTATTTGTATTCTTATAAAGAAAATGATAAATATTTGCATAAGTCACGTGTAGTGAATGCAAATAAAGATAGTTCTAATAATAATATTTCTCTTAAGTTGTCGAAGGAGAATAATAATAATATTAAGAATTTAGTTATAGGAGATAGGTCTTCTTTAAAGAGAGAAAATTCAAATGATAAGAATTTTGTTCATAGACAAATTCATGAACAACATATGATTTTTAGAAAAACATTAATTTTCTATAATAGCAATTTAGATCGAAATGTGAAATCATCACATGATATTAGAGATAGAAATGTCAATTTTTATTTGATGAGTTAAAGACAAAATATTTTTAATTCGTATTCTTTTCAGAAAACTTTTCATAATAGAAAATATAGGATACATTTCTTAAATTGTCGTAAGAAAAAGACTGACCTAATGAAGGTTAGGTTGAATAGGTTCAATATGGACAAATATAAAGACAGATTTCCTTATCAGATAATACGACCAACTGATAATAATAATATTATAATAAGAAGGATAGGAAGTTATAGAATAAAGGTAGTCCATGCTAATAGGATTAAACCTTTTAGAATTCGAGGAAGTAGGTATTAGGTTAATGTATTTTCATTATTATAATAGTAATTTATATTTGTTATTATAAGTTAGGTGATAGACATTTAAAGTAATATGAATTTTTAAATTTTTCTAAGTCATATAATGATAATGTTGAAGTTGTAATTTTAATTTATTTTCTTTTATTTAGGAACTATGACAGGTTCGATTCCTTGTTCAAGTTTAGTTTGATAGTGAGCTAATTACAAATAATAATATTAATCCAATGTGTGTTTAACATATATTGTCATATGAAATATTTGTGTATTATAATTAATTATTTATTGTTAAATTTCCAAGGATGTTTGTTAATACTGTTTAATTGTTTCATGTTCATACTTCATCTGCCGGATTCCCGTAAGAGCATGATGAAGCTGGCGCGTATCCTGACGTCAGCAATACGAAGGGCCTACTATGAAGCATCTCTGTTGATAAGTCGACAGACACCCACTTCATGTGCGCGTCGTCATTTGTATCGCGCGTAGTGTTTATACATGGGCATTGCGAGGGTCGGGGAACCCATCTGGTTCCATAGGAATTGGGTTTCGTCTTGTTTGATGCTGGACGTCCTTAGGCTCCATATGTCAGTTTGTTGTCTCATGGGTGTCAATGATTTATCATGGATGCTTATAAGATATACACATTGTCATTGGCCATATCCGTTTATGTTATTATTTTGGGTTGGATATTAACTATAATTGATTCGATTTTGATTGATTTTAACTACGGGAATCAGGAATATCATATGATAGATATGTTTTAAATAAAGTTTGTCGTGTTTGGGTTTTGCCGTCTTTTTAGGGAGCCCGGGCATGTAACGTCCGAGCACATTACTATAGGTAGGGTTTACTCTTCGGACGGTTTATGGTCAAGTGCTGGCCGTTAATATTTTAAATTATTACTTTTTCATATTAGAATTCGCCTGTTCGTGTTTTGCTGGTGAATAGTCTTTCTTTCTGATCGAGACCAGCTTAGGGTGAGCATCGTAGTATAATTATTGTAAGTGCTTAACTGTAATTCTTATCAGAAATAAATCAAGACTAAGGAGTGCTCCTCCACCGTTAGACTAAGTTGCCATAAGTCGCCATAGTACCTACTTAATAATATTATATTGCGCTATTGTAACTAAAGAGTATGGACGTACCTACATTGCCTTTTTTTCGATTTGATGATTTCAATTTAGCAAGAATGTTTGGCGAAGGAAAAAATGTATGGTGTAGTCTGGAGGATTACTAGAGTAAAATATATAACTGTTGTTAATTATGATTATGACAAAAATGGCTGGTGTGTAGCTGTGTTTTTACTTTGTGGGTAGCCGGTGGACGTTAGTAATATCTTCTAAATATATAAAACTCAAAGGTGACTGACTGAATGACTGACTGACATAGTGATCTATCAACGCACAGCCCAAACCACTGGACGGGTCAGGCTGAAATTTGGCATGCAGGTAGATGTTATGACGTAGGAATCCGCTAAGAAAGGATTTTTGGAAATTCCCACTCTAAAGAGATAAAAAGGGGGTACACGCGGACGAAGTCGCGAGCGGAGCGCTAGTTACCTATATATTCTGTGGCGGTAGTGGCAAGTCGTTACATGTGATCTATGCGTGAAAAATGGCGTGTTTGTACATCTCTCTTATCGTGAAAGTTCTACTCGGTCAGACCAATTTTGGTATAAGTTTTTAAACTGCTTAATGGGTCTGACAAACGTTTTTTACTTTACATGCCAAATAAATCTACAAAAAATTACGAGAATAACTGTGTTTTTACTTTTTTCATAACTTAAAAAATGGCTGAGATATTTACAATCAAAGTAGGTAAAAATGGGGAAAAATACTGTATTGTGCCACAGTGCTTTAATTCAACAGTTAAAACACCCGATAAACTCATTTTTATGTGCCTGTGGACCCAAAAATGAGGAAAAAGTGGATGACAGCACTGATTTCTAAACTATTATTTTTATGAATAAACACTCTAAATGAACAAACTAAAGCGGCGATTGCATAAAATTAATCAAAAATATTTGGTTTACTATAAAAATATAATAATAGGTAGGTATTTGCCTACTTATAAAACTGATAACTACGTAAACTGAAAACTGATAACTACTAATACCTACCTACTAGGACTTACCTACATCTGTATAGGGTAAATAGTGACATTTTCTTTAAGTTTATGAATGAAACACATAAAATAATCATCGACAACCTCGAGATGTGGATTGCAGGTACCTAGGTAGGTACTTACTTAGTACCTATTCTTTATCGCTGGTAGGTAGGTACTAAATAAGTTACCTCACAGAATTTTATCAGTAAGGTTTAAGTTTGAACAAATACCTAGCCGAGAGTAGTTAATGCTTACTTAGAACATAGGTAAATACCTTTTCATCTTTATTCCACGAATTTCGACAGCCGTGATATCCAGACTGTTTGTGAAATATTGTGCCACCATCAAACTATCCACTCCTGGCAGATTGTCCGACTGACCTTTTAAAAAACCTTCCATTCTACACACTACACGTTTCACTTTAGTGTAATCGGATATACTTAGAGGACAATTTGTATTACCTATTTCTTTGAAATACAAGCACACAAAGACGATAAAAACAAAATGAAACGAGACGCGCGTAATTTAGTAGGGCCAACGCACCGGACCGAGTACCGAGCCGCGGGCTGAGCAAGGTTGTGACGTCATAGTATGAGCGCGAGTAATCTCGGAAATTTAAAAAAGGCTTAAACTTCTAGTCGTTATAACTTCGGAAATACTGCATGTATTGAAGTGAAATAAAAACTAATGTAATGTACATGATCTACGCTCTGATTTTAGGTGTATTTGGTAGTAATATTTTGACCCTTTTGTGTTCTCCATTGTATTTTGACATAAGAATCTTGTATAAGAACCGGAACAGCAACCGAGTCCGATGTACTATACCTACCTTCAGTTCAGAATATCAGAATCACCAGACTACGGTCCTGTGATTTCAATGTAGGTCCGTGATCAAGTTTTGTACATAACTATTGTCAAATATCTCATTAATTAATTTTATATGTGATTTCAGGCATTCAGTCAACCAGAAAAGCCGTCAATTTCATCTACAGCAACGTCAGCAACAACATCCACACCAGTAGTTCCAACATCTGCAGCACAATACGTCATTCAATATGTGGATGAATCTGATGTGGCAGCAACGGTTCCACAGCAAAACACTGATGTAAATCAAATTGAAAATTATCTAAAATTGATTTTAGACAATCAAATTAATATGGCACAAACAATAAATGTTCTAATAGACAACCAGAAAAAAATGTTTCATAAACTTGCAAGTCTATCTGTGCAGATAGAATACGAATTTTCCAAGTGTGACAATACCAAAAATACAGATGTGGTTGCACTGGGCAAATCCAGCAATCCAATCGAAAATGAAGCTTTTGTCATAAAACCAATTGATTCAGTTAAAGAGCTAGAGGAACTGGAATCACGTTTAAGTGACAAGCAGCAAAAAATTCAACTGCTGAAGCAATATTCTTTTATATGTTTACAATCAGATGGAAAAGGTGCAACATGTGCATACAAAATATTAGACATGTTTTTTACTCGTGATTTTTTATGCAAGTGTTCCTGGACAGGAGGCAGAAGAAAGAGTGAGGACATAAAAGTCCCTCTAAAGGCTTTTAAAAATGTCCTCAATTTCTTCCACCAACTAATACGTAGCTGGGACCAAACTTATACCGTTGAAAGCAATGAAAACTTTTTCAAAACTGTGCTTAAAAATTCAGTAAAGAGAAAGCAAAAATGAACGCGCATCAACAAAACGTAGGAGAACAAAAAAAGTTAAACTTATTAATCAAAATGAATCTAACGCCAATCAAATTGTTAATGTGGTGGTCATAGTAAACGACGCTGCAAATGAAACAGTAAACACCAACGAAGATTATACGAATGAAAGAAAAGAACAAGAGGAAGAGGTCATAGTAGACGTCGCTGCAAATGAAACAGTAAACACCAACGAAGATTATACGAATGAAAGAAAAGAACAAGAGGAAGAGGAGGAGGAGGAATAGAGTATGTTAAAGCAGGAATCTCTCTTCAGAAAAATGAGAACTACACATGGTATAATGTAAATTGCGGATAAATCAATAAGTATTACTAAATAATATGAAAAAAAAATATTTTGTCATTCCATGCTAATTGGGCGCGCAGCTGATCGATTTAGTATGGGGAGCCTAATTTTTTTTTTATATTTCGACCCATGTTCCCTGGGAAATAGATTCGTGTCCTTTCGGCTTGATACACCCTTTCCGTTACATCCTGTATATTATGTGCCATAATTGTCCTATTTTAGTTACCTAGCTTAGTCAGAATTTATAAAAACACGTAATCTCGTGACTGTGATTGTAGTTTAAGACACAAAATTATGTCTTGTGTATCTAGTAAATAAGTAACTCTTAGATTATTTTTAATTACTTAAGATATCCACTGATGGATATTTCTATTATGTTTGAAGTGCCTATACGGGTTTTTCAATGAATAAAAATACATTTTCTCAATGACAAGGTTTTTTATTTCTCGTTTAAACTGTATGTAAAAGGGGTACGAAGTATAAGTAATTTTTGTGATCAGTACATACTAGTTTTGTTTTTATATCTTTGGGACTAACTATGGTCTCTGTCCGCCTGGTAGTAGGTAATTTGGCTTTGAATATGTTCAAAAACAATGATTTAATCGGCAGTTCAAAAACATCGGATATGTCAGTAATTTTATAACATGTAATCTTTATTTCACTGTTAACAGCGGTTTCTATTTTTGTCACTTCCAAAATGTCATTATTGTTGCATAATACATATTTATCTTGAGGCTTTACAGAAATTTTAAAATCTCTAAAATTTAGTGCATTTATTTTTCTGCTATTGGTCGTAACAAAGGGTTCCACATATGCGATTTGCCGACTTTCTCTGCCCTTACTCATTTCTGATGCTGAATCTTCACTAAATCTCTTTGCCACTTGAGCAAGAGGTTTGTTGCCATGTCTTAGCATTCTTTTTATTAAATACAATTTATTCTCAAAAGGATAAGCGCTAAATGTATGTAGCGGGCCAAATCGTTGCACTTCGTCTGTGAGATGCACTACATTATGGACATTGCTGGTTATATAATCTGGCCTATAAAAGTCTTTATAATGCTCAACAAAATATTGTAGGAGCTCTTTTGCCAAAGGAAGAAAATGACTATAGTTTTTACAAGAGCATATTGTTATACCACAAAAAAATGCCAGAAAAAGTGAAATTGCGTCATGTTGTAATACTTCTGGAAGTATGAAAATGCTCAAATATAGTAAAAATGATCGATATTCGGAAGCTTTCCAGTGAGAAAGACAGTCTAGTCCTCTCACTGATCTGTGAATTTCAGATGGCAATTTTCGTTTTACAAGGAAATTCGAAACTGTTTCAGAATTTCTGGTACTCCATTTGGTAATGTATTTTCCGAAATTACCGTTGCGCCAACCGACTAAGAGCCGCTTCATGATTCCTAAATCAACAAGGTGTAGAGAATCTGCTATCGGAAAGTCTTGTATCATGTCCAAATTCTTGATCTGTTCCAGGGCGGCAATTGGTTTCAGGAAATGTCACTGTATGTGATAAGTGTGAATATTCCCCTACAGTAACACATTTCAGACAACCGTGTTTTGCATTAAAATTACATACACCTGAGAATTAAATAATACAAGAATTATTATTGATACCACAGTCGAAATTTTAATTAAACAAAACTACGAATTAATCTGCGTATATAATTTTACATAACTACGTTTTGGATACTTTATAATATCTAGTAGCTAGCTTAATCTGTAATTTGTAATAAGATTATATACTTTGGGTACCTTTAATGTAAGCTCTCGCTGGAGAATCGCATATAAAACATCTGATTTCAATGGATACTATTTTATTTGGTTTTTCGATATAAATTCCTTCTTTTATTAAATTTCCTATTTCTTTTACAAAATCATCTAAATATTGATCAATATCTTTTGGTTTTCCAACACCAAAATAGATACCAATAACAAATGGATCTTTGTCAGGTCTTTCATAGATATTGCATAATATTGGCCAAAATTCTTTATTGGAGCTTTTAAATATTGGGAGACCGTCAAAATTAAAATTTAATTTCACTTTGTTAGGAACATCAACCCAGTTTTCCAATGTTTTACGTAGACATTTAGTTAGACCATTATGCCAATATTCTCCATTTTCTATAGTCTTCATATGTATTTGTTTGACAGTGCCTAAAATTGTTCTGGCGTCCTTTGGTAAAATTCCCGGAAATCTGCAATTTAAAATTGTAGCTAAGTCGCTAAGAGCTATTTGAGATATATTTCTTTCGATAGCCCATTCCTTAATTTGACGACGGAATGTTAAATTTTTTGAAAAATCATCATCATTATTTGAACTTGCACTGCTGCATGAATCTAAACCACTATCAAGTTCCGGAGGCTTTTCTAAATCCTCCTTTTATTATCGTATGCCGTTTTTGCTACGGAACCTTCATTAGACGTTGCCTGAACTCGCGCTTGACTATCGATTGTTCGATCAATGAATTTGTTCTTTTCAATGTCTTCACATGACGGCTCAGTATCACTGGTTTTGTTTGGTTGATAATTAAATTTACTCCTCCACATGTTTTTCTTTTTTTCCACATATTTCTATTCACCACACAACGTTTTTACAAATCAAGGACAGTAATACAGATTAAAGCTGTATTACAGAATTAATTTATTATTATAGTTCTATAAAATCATATTTGACAGAAGTTATGAAACTATTACACTGACAAGAGTGTATAGTTACGCATTAATAATATGCTTTAGAAAGTAGTTTTAATATACCATTATACAGAAACAAGTATAAAGTGATACCATTTTATAACTTATAGCTATAGTAAGTAAGTGATCACATGAAAAATACAGCCTCTATGCAGCTTGAAGGATAACATTCGATTGAAGTGTCAAAAAATGCTTAGGGTTTTAAAGTGGAGTTCAAATATTCTGTTTTAAAGCCTTAAGTTTACACAGAGTATTTTATAAAAACTTAGTACAGCTTTAGCTGTATAATAACGGTTTAATCACTTTTATAAGTAAATAATCTTTTCTTGACACCTTTATGGATCACCAGTAGAACTCTAAGTTCTAATAGTGCTGTATATTTGATGTCGGCAACGCTTGCGTGCTGCTTGGGATGTACGCTATTTCATAGTAAATTAAGAGACAAATTAATTGAATATTAATATGGCGCGTACAAACAGAACCAACGATTGGCCAAGTTAACATTCATCACTAATCCCAAAGAATAGGCTTTGTTTATTGGTGTAGGCATAAGGATAAGTTTTCACGGAGGAAGAAACATGCGTGTTTAAGCGGTGTTATACATAAATATATCAAAATGTTTGGTGTTATACATAAATATAACTAGAAAATTAAGATTTCTAGTGACATGCGTTATAATATTTTCTTAAGTGGTGAGTATATACCTACCTATTATAATATAACTACGACTACCTATTAAGTTTCAAGTTATTAAACGACTTAACATGCGAACTTCCTACCACTACTTTTACAATATGAAGTATTTTAACTTTGATAATTTTAATTAGGTACTATATTAGTCAAAGACTAGTTTTTAATCGGCCCAGTCATTTTAAAGTTTATATTTTACAATAAAAAATTCAATCTTTCCTTTTTGTAATATAGGTATAGACATATACTTTTTCGGAATTAAATATTTATATTCGTTAGTCATCGATTGTTTGAAATACATAACACAAGAAATAAAAATAAACTTGCCGTTCCAAGCTTCAGACTTCAAAAAACCAGAGGATCATTTCTGGGTAAATGTATTGCTATGTTCAATAAAGTTCCACAAAATGTAATTGACCTACCCATAAATAAATTTCAAATTCATGTAAAGAATATACTTATGAATAAAGGCTATTATAAAGTTGATGATTATTTTAAGGATCGCAATGCATGGAATTAATAGCCTTCGCTTTGTTCTATAAAGACTAATTATATGTTCAACCTATGTCCTACAGACTTTGAAAGTTGTATTTACTATTGTGATAATACATATTATTTTGGTAATGACATGATTTATGTAAATGTCATTACTTATGATAAAAAGCTGGTAAGTCTCTTTCGCTTGTTCTTCTTGTCAGCTAAAAGATGTCCTGTCCCAAGTGGTAGGGGAAAAAAGTCTTTTGGACGATTCAAAAGTGCTTGTAATAGCCTACTTAAATAAAGATATTTTCATTTCATTTCATTTCAATGGACGTTTATGCAACTGACCGATAAATTCATATTTATAATGAAAATTTATCGAAAAAATGTATGTTATTTATCTAAATTTAATATTTGTGCGAAACTGTTCGCGAGTCTGACTCACTCTTGCTAGTTTTTTATTTATTACTCTAACAATAAATTCCAAAACCAGTTTTTGAATGTGCATATGAAATAACCTTGGAGAGGACTCAGTTGACTTCAAACTTTTAAAAACTGATAAATAATAATTATTTCAATAGCGTCTTATTCATGGAACTGCCTACTATTAAAATCGGGCGGAGGTTTTCTGTAGGTTATTTATAAAATGGTAGGCACCCGATTTCAATAGCATTTTATTGAATAAGTCGCTTTTGATATAAGTGTTATTTACATATCACTTTATTAAGTTAGAAGTCAATTCTATTTTTGAAAAAAGTTTTCATTTCATGATATTATATATATAATAGGTAATACTAAAAATATTAAATTAAAATTATTAGAAAATATTCAACATAGTCAAAGATTTACCAAAGAAGATTTTGTTTATTTGCTTGACATATTTTTCGAATTATCTATACTGAAGAGGAAAGATTTATTTGTTTGTTTGTATTGTATTGGCTCCGAAATTATTGGACCGATTTATAAACTTTTTTCATTTACGGGAAGCTATTTAATACGGGATGGACATAGGCTATAATTTACGCAGGCAAAGTCGCGGGGAAACAACTAGTTTGATAGAAATTGATTTACCATTCAAGAAGAAATATTTATTTATAAAAAATATATGTTCTTCCTAAACAAAAAAAACCATCGTAAGGATTTTGAATGAACTTTAAATGGGAAATTTAAATGGGACCATCTCGGTCCATGTGCATTAAGCTGTTGAATACAAATATTTTGAAAATCGGTCCACAATTTACAAAAAAATCGGTGAACAGAACATATATAAAAAGCATGCATCGCCGTCGAACATATTTTAGACCTTTTCGATTTTGAACTCGGTTAAAAACAAGAGTATTGGTTCTCAAAATAAATAATTTTAATATAGGCCCTTCATTAGAATTGATAATAAATCTAAACAAATCAACTAAAATTAAAGTCACTCTCTATATAGAGTAGAAAACACAATTATTATATATCACAGGCCAAAGTCACGAAAACGCCTTACTAAATATATTCAGCAAACATTTCACTCGTAATCGTCACTTTGCGTAAAAAATATATTTAGGGGCAAGCATTTTTTACAAAGTTTTCATCTAACTGGAGTATCACAGTCATAATAAAAGTTTATAAAACCCAGTACATATATTTAATCAGAACTTTTGTGATTAGAACTAAGCTTCAATATCTATATCAATGATTATTATAATACTTTGTCATTTTGTCTATGAAACGTGCAATCAATGCCTACGTGTAGTGGATATATTTTATTACTGGATTAAATGATAACAAAAAAACACCGAAATAGACCTTTAATCAAGAAAATGTAATTTACATTTGGAAAAAAAAACCGAAAAAAACATAAATAAATACATTTTATATGACCTGTGCCGTTGACATTTCTATATCAACAAAATCTTAATTTATTATCTTGTCGTTCCCTACATTACATAGAGTGAACTTGACATAATTGATGCACCTGACCTCGCCCACCCGCGACCTATTCGAAGGCTAACTGACACCATGCATACAATGTTCCAGAATAGGGCATCTCAGGCCACTCGAATCGTGACTGAAATATCTAGCCTCTTCTCTTAAATAATAGTTACAAAAAAACAGATAATTATGATTTAAATTTAATAAAAGCGAAATAACAGATAGACAGACATAATAATTTTAAAAATAGTACGACTCTATCGAATTTATTGCCATCGTCACTAGCAGTGCCATTTGTATTTTTATTTCATCCTCTTTGCATATAACCACGCAGCAATCGAATACCGATAAATAACACCGCTGTATAGAACACGATTTTCATACTCCGTTTATAATTCACATACGATAACACGTCTTCTACAGCATTAGAGTTCAAAATTATCGGCCAACTCGCTGTGGTCAGGTCTTCATAAGTCTGGGCTTGTGGTCGCAAACTGGTAAGCAAATGGAGATACGCCGCATGACCGGCTTGCAATGCTGACGCTACATCGCCGTCACCAAAAATATCCAAAGCACTCCACTCTAAATAATTCCGACTAACCTGTCCTGTCAATCTGCGTAACGCCACGTAGTCGCCACATCTCGGCACGAACATATCTTCGATCTCTGTCTCTCTGTAACTAATAGTGCTTTCAGCTTCAGGTCCAAATAGTTTCACTAGCTGTTCTACAACAGCTGCTTTGTTTGACACATCTTTACCATTATCCTTGACTTTCAAATAACCTACCAGAGAGAAGTATCGCCTTGAGCTGCCGGTCGTCGACAAATTCGGTTTCTCCATCGCCCAAATGATAGGTCCTTTGATACTCAAAATTTCACCACTGTACCCTTGATCAGCCCAAAAGTTGTTTTCATATTCTATCTCAAATTTCTTTGCACGTCCACGACGCATAGCTCCAGCTATGTCCGCATCTCTTTTGGACAACAGTTGATCTTCTACTTGTATGTTGTGAAGCTCATCAGGACGTAATGCCATAGCCAACAAATTACATATATAATTGGTTTCACCCATCATAGTCATCAGTATGACTTGTTTATTGGAATAAGTTCTAATTTCTTTAATATGTTTAACAGGTAAAGTTATTTCTTCGATGCTTTGTTGCATTTGACTAACCAGACGTTTCCTGCAGTAGCCTAGAAGCTTTTCTCGTAATCTAGTATTGTCCCCGTCCAAATGATTTTTCGAGCTATTCGTCCTGTAGCATTGATGAAGATAGAAAAGAACCGACACACTATCTGCTGGCACTCCACAAACTAATCGCACTGTAGTTCTCATGATATCTCTTGATGTAGAAAACAAAAGAGAATCACAAATATGTTGCTCCATAGTCGTCCGATCGTAGTGCAGCAATAAATTCCTCTCGTTCTCATTGTCTTCTTTAAAATTGAGATATATGTTTCTCATACTATGATCTAAACGTGCTTGAAACTGGTTCAGTTCAAATTTTTCTGTGAAATTTAAATAAGTGAAATCGTGGAAATCGCTAGGACATTCTACTGTACTACCGTTTGTGTGTTGAAAAAGTTTATTTAGGTTGAGTTTGCGACAAGGTTCTAAAATGCAATCTGGTATTGGAATATTTAATTCTCTAGCATATTTTGTAAGGAAGTGCCGTGCCATATTATCACTAGCATGTATCTCTGTTTTACATTCCTCTTCGTCTTTTTCTTCTTCTGATTCATCATCATCATCATCTTCGGTTAAAAAAGATACGTTACATTTAGAAACCATTTTTGGCGTTCCAGACATATCAAGAACCACTATATCCATGGTATTTCCAAATTTCTTCTTCAACTTGTGGGCTATAACGATACCTGGTAAGCTACATCCCAGTATGATAACATCGGCTTGAATATTATTAGAACCACTATTCAAAGATTTGGGAGTTTTTTTAACCATATGGAATATTTTACTTTCACTGTCGATAATATTAAATCACTATGTAAATTTTATGTAAAATTATGTGTATAAATTCACTTTTTACATCACAAAATTATTGTAAACAGTAAGTTTGATGTTATAAGTATTTTCTTTATAATAGACATTGACAGATGCATATTATGTCAAATCACAATGAAGGTTTCACTACATATTAACTTCATATGTAGGTTCTGAGCTTCTGAGACAAAAGTAAAGATGGTTAAGGAGTATGGGCCATGACCCTCCACGCTGGCCCAATGCGGATTGGCGGGTATTAACGACTACAAATGTACCCGGGATCAACGTTTTAACGTGCCTTCCGAAGCGTGGAAGATAAAAATTTTTTGGTCACCCAACCCGTGACCGACCCTTGCGAAAGTTGCTTAACGACAAAGATCGCGGGCCGCGTCGCTTATCCACTACGCCACCGAGCTACTTAGAGATCAACACCGGTTTACAAATTGAAATGGTAATTGGCTATTTAAGTATTTTTTTCGCTAACGTTGTGAAAAGTTGACTGTAACGCGTTAAAAGCCCATTGTAAATCGGTTTCTTTATACTCCCACGTTGAAGCTAGGTAGTACAAATTCTGCATAATAACGGGTTAGGGCCCCTTTTTTGATAATCGGAAAAGTATTACTGTATAACTCGCTTCACGGCCCACAAAGTAATGTGGGGCTCTCTCCCCCCGGATCCGCCGCCAGAAAGAGGGCTAGTCAAAATGGCGGAGGCATACCCTCTAAAACCCACCGATGTTCCCAGCTATGGAATAGTCAGAGCGGTCAAATACTTTGTAGTTGTTGAGATAATTTGAATAATTTGTTACTCCCACTCCATGGCACCCTAGAGTGGTGAATACTCACAAGATGTGAAAAGGTTTCAACTCTTTTGTTCTTTTTTAAAGAACGAACCTGTAAAGTGCATAGGTAGTTTAGAAGATACAGCAACACAACATTATTTCTTAACTATTTCTAAAAGTATTTACTTTACCATTTATCGCCGCTATGTTCCACACTAATAAAGAGGGGACTAAAAGTTAACCTTTTTGGAATTCATTATAGGCACAGCTGTGACGCTGCCAGTTTGATGTGAGCCCAGCAGCACCGCTACTGTCCCGAATTCGTAGTAGACTGATAAATAAGGGACTAGATGGATCAAGAATTCACTTCAAAATCGAAGATGGTGGCTGCTACCCTAACACACATGCTATGGAAGGTAAAGCATAAGGATTACCTGTAACAATCTACTATAAACTTACATGATACGATAGGATTCATGGTCAATATTGATAATATGCTAATACAATAATTACCGTAACATTCGTCACCGAAACGGTTCATTTATGTGCAAAAACGAACGTCACACGACGCAGGTAAAAGTAACACAGAAGGTTCACATAAAGATATAAAAATTGCATAATATATTTTTTTTTAAAGATTATATGCGTGTGTAATTTATACCTTAAACCAAGGATACCCAAAGTGGTTTATCTCAACCCCTTGAGATCTAAATCGGTTTTTCGGGGGTAGACATATACTATAACTGATTTGAGCGTAAATTATGTCTTTATTTTGTTAAATTTTGATGTAAAAATTAAATCAACTTTAATCACTCAACCAACGCACAGCTTTTGAATAGATATGTATATATATTTTAATTTAATTATTCTACTGGGGTCTGAGATATTATTTCGTCTTTGAAAAAGACCAAAATAGTAAAGGAATCCTTGGCTTGAACCTTTTTATATTTGTGTTATTTTATCCATGTATGAATGCAGACATATACCTGGGTCCACTGAATGATAAGCGGCTCAATAACAAACATAGACAACTTTTCGACAACTAGGACCAGTATGGAAAGGTGATCGAAAAAATATGAGTTCCTCCGTGCTTTAAAAGGCACCTTTAGCCGTTAATGCCGAGTGCATTAGTAACCACACCCACTAGCCCACACTGAGTCCACGGGGTGGGTTATTATTTTAGCCCGATCTACCTATGTCTCCATCTGTAAGGATGACTTCTGCCTCTACACTGTGAGCATCAAGATGCTGATGACGATTTTCATATATCTAAATAGGTATATATGTCGGAGGATATCTCCATCATCTTTTCGAAGATCGTTTGATTTAGTTTCTTTATTTGTAATTGCTAGTTACTCGATTACTTAATTACTCGATTGTAAAGAGGGCGTGATCATCGATACTTTTAATTTTATTAGAATCGTAACACTGACTTTGACAGTTCGTTAACGAAAAGCAAATTGCCGCCATTTTGGCACACATTCTGTTTCCGATCTCCGAGGAGTAAAGACATCCGACGACATCACGCTCATCTCGTTATTTTCGTATGAAAAGTGACAAAATGGAATAAGTCCACATTGATATACACGCCTGCAGTGTTATTTCAAAGGTAGTCCTCCGATATGGAAGATCTATTTGGGCTTCGTAATAGCCCCTTCTGACTACCCGCAGACATATATAACTCAAAGGTGATCTATCAACGCACAGCCTAAACCACTGGACGGATCGGGCTGAAATTTGACATGCAGGTAGATGTTATGACGTAGGCATCCGCTAAGAAAGGATTTTGATCAATTCTACCCCCAAAGGAATAAAATAGGGGATGAAAATTTGTATGAAACTTTGACAATTTTAAACCGATCGGGCTGAGACTTTGCATGCCTAAAGCTACTATGACTTAGGCATCCCCCAACAAAGGATTTTGATAAATTTTATTTCAGGTGATTATATCTGAATTTATGTCAGATGAAACTTTATTTCAGAATATTTTACACGATATAATGAATAAATAGTCGTTAGAAATGCTGCTCAAAGTAACTTTACTACGTGGACGAAGTCGCGGGTAAAAGCTAGTCAATTAATATTTGTATGATAATTTTCTCTGTCAGCCAATTTTTTGACCAAATAAGTCAACCTGACCTTCTCTATGTCTACTGACTGGTGGTTCTATGATAAGCGAACGATGGCCTTCTACACAGGGTCACGGTCAGTGACGCGGTGATGCTAGGCGGAGAAATGAACATTATTTAAGTAAATATAAGGAAATTAATAATATTTAATAAACAAATCTTTCGCAGAAATGTGTATTTACAGAAAGTAAGTACGTATAATTTTATTGTAACTGTATATTTTTGTAATCTAGCTTGACTTATACAAAAAGCGTGGAATTAATATTTCCAGCAGTCTATTGTTTCTCAGGCCTTGTATCAATTTCCAGTCATTTTAAGTTTCCATAAAACTAATTTGTGGTTTTAACTTGAAATGAAACATCTAAAAGTGTCTTCCTACGATTAAGAATAAAAATAAATAAATAATTTCTCTTTTCCTTCTTTTGACTCATTTGTGGGAAGATTTAGAGGTTAAAACTATCCTATGTACTTCCCAGGATCTCATATTGGGTTGTATCTCCATACCTACCAATATACATAAAAACTAGTTTAGCGGAAGGTGTTACTTCCACATTTATAGTAAGGAGAGGAGAGAATGAAAAGGCTTGATAGGGATGCCAGTGTTAATTATAGTAAATCTATGATATTTAACTACTTCCACGCCCAGATTGCAGTTGCAAAATTTATATCCGCATGTTCATATATTTGCGGGCGATGCGCAGGTCTTGCAGATGCTAAATATAGTTTTACAGTTATAACATTGCAAAGTCCCAACACTATTAAATATTTACAACTGGTGATCCATGTTTAGATGCCAATTAGTTGAGATATTGAGCTGTAATTAAGTGCAGTACAGGAAAATGACAACTATTAATGAATCAAAATGCTCCTTGACCCATACTGGATCATCTTATCGTCATCACAAGTCTATTAATGTCACACTGCTGGGGCACAGGCCTTAACTATGGATGAACCCGAATCCCTATTCGGTTAGTCTTGGATTCGATCTCGGCCGGCTAAATATAAAAAAAGGGTTTTTAAATTGTCTCGGATCTGGGTGTTAAGTTCAGTAATTTCAGATTTTCGTCATACAAGTACAGTAGCTACGTAGTTACATGATGTTGTCTAGCATAAAAATAACAATATATGTTTATATATACAAAGTTATCTTATGTCTAAATCGTAAATTAAAATCTGTCTAGATTAGGTAACATTATATGCTTAAGCGAATGTAAAATTTAGTTAGTAAGGTTATCAACTGATAATTATATAATAGTGATAATTATAAATACTTATAGATAAGATGAGACACGTAACAGACAATTAAGATGACCTTTTAAACCTTGCACTTATTCAATTACTTTATCGATATGTCTTTTTTCAATATATAATCATTATTTGTAATTTAATAATATAAATTAGTTACATTCTTGATATATTACATTATAGTACTTGCGTATTTTTTTTCCATTATTATATGTTCATAAAAATTGTCATTAACGACGTTTTAAAACATCTATCGCTACTTTTATCGCTTTTTTCTAGGTCATAAAAATATATCAAATTACAATATCCACACATTATCACAAAATAGTTTCCATTTAAAAGTCAACGTTATCACGCCATTTTAAAAATCATGGCAACTGAGATTTTCCAAAAATTTTCCTGAAAATTAAATTAAAATCTCTTTCAAGTCAAATATATTTTTACTAATCCTAAGTTTGCTTATAATTTTATGATATAATGTTGCGAAAATTCAGTTGCTAGTCGAATAAAATGTTTAAAGTTTTATAAACTAAAACTTTTAACTTTTTAATTGAATTATGAGACAGCTTTTCAAGTTCAGGAAATAGTTAAAGAATCCAGTTATTCATAGCGTTTGTGAATTATATCCACCCTGACATGTTGCCCACTCGCGCAAATAAATCCATTCCGCAACCAGCAATTAGATAACGCGCGTTAATGAATTCCCGGGCTGGGATAGGGCCGGTGTACGGTGGTGTAGAGACGTGCGTCTTAGCACGTACGCCACTTGGTACAATCTGTTTCCATTGTTTCACGGTATTGAACCG